AGAAGTGGGCTTAATGGGGGGGGGGCGACGACCGCGTGTTGGTGTTTAATTAAAGTTTAAAAAGACATGTTTTAGGCCGCAATGGCTTATGTCGTTATTTAACATAAAACATTAAGGCCAAGGGCGCGATCGATATCTTACCCGCGAGTGAGGGCTTACGACTGATCAGTCTTCACTTCCATACGATACCAACAGTCAAATCCGCACCCAACGGCCAAGGGGACAAAGGCCAGGGGACAAGGGCCAAGGGCGCGAACGATGTCTTACCCGCGAGTGAGGGCTTACGACTGATGACATTCTTCACTTCCATCCGATACCAACACTCACGTGCTTTAACATGGGCCGGAAAACACAGCGTCATTACGTCATCGAGAATCCCTTTGCCCACTTTTGCTGGGATTTTCCATAGAAAGTGACAAAGTCCTTAGTGCTTTTTACGACCAAAACCCCCATGTTAAGTCTATAGGATTTGCAATTTGACCGTCATCAGCGTCATCAATGATGGAGCGAGGGAGGGGGACAGGGTGATTCTATATACCGCGATTTTTTCCTTCCGGAATCGCGGTTAAAAATACAATTAATATTAAATCTGAAATTTATTAATTAAATCAATATACCGGTATTAGCAATGCAGTAATACAAATGAAATTGCGAATAATAATTACTGAAATACAATATCAAATATAAAATTAAATTATTTAATATATTTATAAAATTTATTTGATAACTAAAATGTTCTTACTATAGGCATTTTTTAATAATTTTTAGAGTTCAAATAAATTTAAAATATTTTAATACCTATTCAATTTTTATAATAATTATTGGTAGTTTTAATTAGTTAACCGGGAATATTTGGGTATATACAAGTATATTTATACACAATTCATTATTTTTACCAAATACAGTTATGTTAGTATTTACGTAGATATTAAATTATATATCATACAGAAAATTGAGGTTTTTATTGATTAAAAATTATCAAGGGCGTTATTTTGATGCAAGAATTTACTTATATGGATTTTAAAAATTATATTGCTACAACTATTTAGCTACTATTGTATTAACATTTTATAGTACTTTTAAACTATAGAATTTACATAAAATTAAATTTATTAATAAAAATCGCCAAAAAAATACTAACAAAATATGTAAATAAATATTTGTATAACATTTTAATCATGAATAAATTATAATTAACAAAAATGAATAGATTGATCGTATGCAATAATTTAAATGGTATTTTTAAATAGACATTGATGAAAAATTGTTATGACACTAATAGTGGTACGTAAGTAGTAAGAGAGAGAGAGAGAGAGAATTAAAAACTTATCTAGCACACATAAGCACACTTTATTAATAGAAATAATTTAGGCAATGTTTTTTTATACAATCTTCTATGCTTGTATTAAACAGTAATTGGTCTTCGCATTGAAAGCATAAATCTCCCTTGCCGGCACCCCTTGCCGTACGTACAACCCTACTGTCCACCGGCGCCGACACCACCATAACGTTGGCGCACTGGTAGGTCACGAAAACAATAACATACGCCAATAGTCGGTAGAGTAGTAAATATTTTTCCATAATTAAATTATTTGATATATTGCTTAGAAATATACTAGTTCAATTTGTTACTATTATGGTGTTAATTTAGATATTAATTAAATTAATATAATTTAAAACACGACTAGTAAGCAAACAATAAAAAACTATAAATATTAAAAATGTTGTCAGTTTGTTTATATATAGTATTAAAATATTTAAATGAAAAAATTAATATTTTGTCTCCGGATAAGTCTATTACGTAAATATATGTAACAAATATGGTATAACTTATTAGTATGTCGTATATGAGTCTAATAAGGGGCTGGAAGTGAATCAATACATACTCTCTCTCTCTCTCTCTCTCTCTCTCTCTCATGTCATCAACTTATTACTTATTTAAGCATATAATACATAATTTAATACTACAAAATGAGTAATAGTAATAATCTATATTTGTGCATGCAACAAAATTAAGCAACTTATTTTAAAACTTATTTAATTATTTATAAAATAAAGTTTACAAAACGAGAAATTTCAATACATTTCCATATGGTATGAGACAATCAGTCACTTAATTATATTATTATTATTACTTATTTATTTAATTTGTTTGAATTATATATTTTAATTCATGAGTAGAAATACTAAAGAATATTCTCAAGAATATTCTGTACTTTTAATTTAATATGCATTTCCAGTTCTGGGGTGACAATTGTGGGCCAAATATATTATAACAAATAACATAACAAATTAATATACTATAACAGCTTATTATAAACTAATATAAAAACAATTATATATTTTTCGTAGATACTGTAAAATTATCAATGTTTTTAATAGTGAACGATAAATTACAATAAAATGTGCCTGGATTGAATTGTATAGAGGGGTATCTGAGCGTAATTAAAATATGTAGTTAGTTATGATTTAAATGTGTTTTTTTGTCAAATAGCGTACAAAAATAAATATTGTACACTAAATATAGTTTGTAAAAATAGCCTACAAATATATACTAGTATATTTAACGATATTTACATAAATTAAATGATGTTTCATAAAACAAAATTATTTCAAATAAAAAATTATACAATAAAATGAATTTTATCAATAAAAATACAATCGTTGTGAGAAACCTTGCTCAATTAACAAAAATATATGTTCAATATTAGGCCGACTTATACTCGTTGGACATGTAATCACTGGAGTCTCTCCATTGAGTCAAGTCGATGGTTGGCAATACATGGCACTCGACCCGGGGGTTACTAATAAAATAAACAAGCACACACACAGAGACAAATTACTAATCAAAAATTACCAAGCTAAATAGCCGTCACCACCAACACAAATACTCACTGTTTAGGGTTAGCTTTAAGCATGGGATACAACTGAATAGTATGTATATCATCGGAGCTATCGCACAGTAACCTCGCTAGTTTAGCCTTTCTGAGCTCGGTCAGTTGCTCGTGCGTGAACTGCGAGGGCCAGCCCTCATTCTCGTACCAAAACCGGTCGCCCCGTCGCACGTGTGAGAACTGTTCGCCGATAATACAGGCGAAAGTGGGGCCCACGAGAGCGCCCGGCAACGGGTACTCCGAGATGCCGGCGCTCCACAAGTCCAGGTCGTCCACCTCCTTATACAGGGACAGGTAGCGCTGGATGGTCTTATTGGGGAACAGGCCGTTCAGGTCGTAGAACGACTTGAGCTTCGGTAGGCCGCAGTACTCCCGGTACTCGTTGTACCCTGGTACGCCCATTTCGCGACCCCGTTGCACGTTCATGGCGGCCAGGTCGAGGCCGAACTTTTCACCAGGCTTCTCGAACAGGTGGTTGGTCACCTCGGTGGTGATCTCGCTGTCCATACGGTAGGTCAGTTGGTTGATGAGGCCTAACATGAATGAGTCGACGGCTCCTGGTTTGTACAGTTCGTACGGCTGTCGGAGTAGCGATGATAGCCGTATGGACTCTGCGAGGGGGAGTGGGAGGGGTGGGTATATGCGGTTAGTAATGTTTTTTGGTGTGATAATTGTTTTGATAAAATTATACTTGAATTGAATGTAAAATATTTTCAGGGTTTTTAACAATAGTTTAAAACTCGGAAAAAGTTATTAAAAAACTATTTTTTAAAACAATGGTTATTATAAAGTTTAAAATTAATTAACCAATTTTAAAGCATACGCTAATCTATTATCTAGTATTTAAATACCATAACTAAATAATCAATAAAATTAAACTAATCGTAAGCCTAAGAGTAATAAACACATAACCATACTAAATGACTAAAATAATCAGGTTTATAGAAATTAAATGCAATAATACAAAAACAATTATAAAAACATTTTCCCAGTTTTAAACAATGCTTTAAAACTCTGGAAAAAGTTATTTGAAATTGTTTTTAAAATAGTTTATTATTAGCAGAAAATTTTACTAAACATTTGAAAACTAACCAATTGTTAAGCATAAGTCAATCGTATCATATTTAAACTAGCAACTAGCAACCTAACCTAACCACACATAACCATACTATGGTACATGACCAAAATAACCACACATTTGCACAAATAAAAATCTAATAAACTACAACTAAACCCAATGAGCAAGGCAAAACAAGTGAATTACCAATCTTTTCGTGATACTTATTGTAGCGTTCGGTAACATCGGGCAGAATCGAGTGGCCGAACCGGAAGGCCGCCGCCTGGAAAGCCGTCCTAATGCCGGGGTTCACCTTCGGGTCGTAGCCCTTATAATAGCCTTTGGGCATCAAATCTAACCCATAGTTAGCCATCGCTTTCCGGCCTATCGTGAGCGGCAGGAACTCGTTGAATGTGATATGCTGTACAACCGCTCCAATAATACGCCGGGTCTCCTGATACAGGCGCTCATCATCCCAATGGGGGTTAATATGCTGGAGGGCGTCGGCTATCCGGTTGTGTTCCCGCATCCATACCGTGTGAATGACCGTCAGCTGTAACTGTTCGTTAAGGCGCTCATCCCCGCCATCGAAACAGTAGAGATTATGGGGTCTACCGGTGCGCTCGCAGCCGAGCTCCGGGTCCTTCACCTTCATAGGCAACAGGTCTTTCATACCCAACTCGGCGTATATGGGCGACGACTTGAGGCGACCCCCGTTGAACTCCCGGAGCCGTGTGGCCACCTCCTGGGTGGAGCCGTATATGAAGTTGGCGTCGATGAACGAGGAGATGGAGTTTTGTTGGCTCCGGGGCCCTAACGGACAGTTCGGTTTGACGCCGGGTAGGGAACGCAGGAAATCCATGCACTGCCGGTCGAAGTACTTATAGAAGGGATCGTTGGCCGGGATTTGAATGGGATAGCAGGAGGGGTGCTGTTGTGGGGCCGGGTGTTCGCAGCACTTGATGCTCTCGGACTTGTCGTCTATGCGAGGGGAAAGGGATAAAAAATGTTGTGTTACTATTAACAGGTAACTACAAAACTAGTGCAACAAATGCCATACCCGTGGGCGACGGCGCTAGTGTCAAGTCGTGGTCAATCATCTGGCCCCAGGCGATGGCCAGGTATGTCATGTGCCGGTCGTGAGCGCTGATATCCTGGTGCAATATGAACGACACGAGTCGGGCGGGTGGTAGGGCTGTGCCGTCCTTCGCGCGCTTGGGTTCAGTAATGCCTACAAAATACGCCAACAATTATACCTAACCCTCAGAAAAAGCACACAAACCGTATGGGGACGCGAACGCACCCCCACTCACACACACATACATACCGTCAGCGTAATCAGGGGGTAGGAACCGGAGCATCGACGACCTGGCACTGCCCCAGCTCGGGTAGTCCAAGTTATTGCACATACCGGTGAGCGTACGATATTTGCTGAGCTCGCACTTGACGGGCTTCAAAAAGGTGGGGCATATGTCGCGTACGGCCGTCTTATACGTGTCGATACGGGGCAGTCCGAACAGGACAGCCGTTTTGGTCAGTCCGTACCACTTGGCCAACAGTTGGGACGCCTTTTGTAGGACTTCTGAGACGACGGCGATGTGCGGCGGTTTCGGGTAGTCGGAGGACAGTTCGTGCACCTCCTCGGGCACGTAGCCGCCCACTAGACCCTGGGCCTCACCCACCGCGCGGTTTATGTCGTCGTAACTGATGCACACGTGTCCGCCCGGTATGTACGACGACCTCTTGATACTGGTGTTGATAGGGTTGTGCGCGTGACATGAGTTAAGATTGGCGTAAGTTTATGTTATCAGGGTATACGTGTGATAGAGAGTGTGTGTGTTGTGGGTTAGGTAAGGTAACCATGGCACAGTGATTTATGTATAGAACTTTACTTAATACGATCAAGGTGAGAATGACTATTTAAGTTTACTCATTTATTTACGTAAAAAATGTATGTAGCTTACAGGTTATTTTGATTTTTCAATAATGTTTTTAACTATAATTGTATTAAAAATTTTAATTAAAAAAAATAGCAAATAAAAAAGTCTACGACACCCGGTATTCCCAGGTGGTCTCCCTCCCAAGTACTAACCGGGCTCGACGCTGCTTAACTTCGGTGATCTGA